AAGAGGGGTACGAGAAGGTTTGGTAGAGAGGATAGAAGAGGTATTGAGGGAGACGAAAAGTAGGGTAAAGGTAGGGAAATTGAGTGAAGAGTTTTGGTTGGGAAGGGAGGCATAACTATTTGTTTAAAGCGAGATTCAATTGCTGAATTGCTGTAACATACGGCGAGAATCATTCCGTACAATGGATTCTCAAATGCACGTAAATTAATCCAGAATACGAACTTGAGATGTGCTATTTGACTTTAATCCGAAAAAAGTTAGACATCGGTTTATAAAAGTTTACGACAGACTTTTGCATATGAAGTAATGCTTCGAATTCAACTTTTCTCTAGTTCTATTTATTATCTATCTTGACAGTCATAAAAAAAGCGAGGGCTCAATTGATATCTATTGGTTGTAATTAATAAAGTTGCCAATATCTCACAATTTTTTCGATGTGCTTTATTTTTCTTTTTTTTTTTTTTGCATCTCGTTAGAACAGATTCATTGCTCGCTGTCTTGGGTGACTCTTTAATCATAAACGATTAACCTTACACAGAAGTACTCTTGTATTTCGAAGTAGTTGGATTGACGCCAAGGCCTCCTTGACCGTGTCTTATTTAAGTCTGGTCCGAGAGATCGCACGGCGTATTTGATAACAGCTTGCTGATTCTGTTGTAAGATAGTTCTTGCGAGAGAGAATTTCCAAGCGAATTTTTGTTTCACGAAAGATTGAGCTCTATGCTAAATTTTCTTTTCCTCCATCACGAACATTTTCACTACATGTTTACGAAGAAAACTGCGTACCAGAAAAGTTTAGCTATAATATTTGTAACGGAGAACGAGCGTAGTTCTTTATCTCTTTGCGCTTAAATGAAATTCAGCGCGGAAATCGATTGCAAAATATCGTTTGTAACTACATAAAGTCGTTTTTCGTAAGCAGCTACAAATAATACTAAATATTCAGGAACGGTGTATATCATTAGGTTTATCGTTTTTGCAGGTGATTCATTGCAGTGCACGCCTCTGGATCGAGCATACAAAAGCAAAGTATTGGGACATTATCCAGACTCGGTACCATGGAATCCTTTCGACGAACATGCTGTGTGCATGGTACATATATCTATTATGATAACTAACTGTTAATTGTAATTCCATTTTGAATTATATGTTAATAATAAATATAGATTTATTTGCAATTGTATATAATTCGCTGTACTATCGAAAAATGCGAAAGACTTAACCGAATAAACATTTTTATTTATTAATATCTAATTACAATATTTAGATACAATACTTTTTTATTTATTAACATCTAAATATATATTTATTAATATCTCTATAGATATTAATATAAATATA